AGTTCCCGAAACGTCTCGGCGAGATGTTGCGTTCGCCGAAAACCACACCGCTCGGCAATCACGGACAGCGTTAAGTCAGTGTGCGTCAGCATTTCTTCCGCTCGCAACAGCTTCAAGCGAATCAGTTCCTGATTGGGCGAACGTCCCAGCAGCTTTCGCAGCCCTCGCTCGAGCGAACTTCGCGAAATTGCCACCGCCTTCAACACGTCAGGTACCCCGATTCCTTCGCACGCATATTCGCGCATGTAGAGCAGCGCGTTGGCAAGTTCCGGATCGTCCAGTGCCACAATATCCGACGACATTCGCGTAACAATTCCCAGCGGTTCGACGAGGATCGGTTCCTTCGGCGATTTCCCCCCACGCATTAAATGCTCGAGCAGTTCCGCAGCGCGAAAGCCGATCGCCGTGCCGTTCAACTCGACGCTGGAAAGGGGCGTCGTCGCCATGTTGCAAAGTGAAGCGTCATTCTCGACTCCCACCACGGCCACTTCTTCCGGGACGATCGCTCCGCACCGCCGACACGCATCCAACAGCCAGAATCCGAGTTGGTCGGTGCATGCCATCACGCCGATCGGCTTGGGCAGTTGGGCGACCCAATCGGCAAGTTCTTTCTGAGCTTGCTCCCACTGCGTTGGCTGCTCGCGGCGATTGAGCGGGTGATAGCGGAACGCCTCGTAGCCATGCTCGGCCACGGTTTGCACAAAGTTCTCGCACCGCTGCTGAAAGTACTCTTCCGCCCCCAACTGATACACGGCAAAGTTGCGAAATCCGCGATCGAGAAAGTGTTCGGCGACCAGCTTTCCGAGCGAGCAGTTGTTGACCCCCACAAACGGGAACGAATGCTTCAATCGCGTCGATCTCAATTCAACGGTCGGCACTTTGGCTCGCTTCACCGCATCGACCATTGCCTGGGAACCACTTCGCGTGAGGATCCCATTTCCGCTCCATCCCGGCAGCCAGGGCGGGGCAGGGGACTCGAGCGAACGTGACTCGACAAACAACGACCACGGTCCCCGCTCGGCGACATATTTACGAACCCCATGCAGCAGTTCACGGCCGTACGTCCGCGACGTTTCAATCAACAGAGCCACATGAGGGGCGGCACTTTTGCTAGGCATGAGGTGGGCTTTGACTCGGGGAAAAGGGAAAGCGTTGCTCACCGAAAGGGGGGCGACCTGGCACATTTTTCTTGCATGTTTCGCCAATTTGGTCCGTTAAACTGAACCAGCTTCTGGAAAGGAAAGCAAGGACACCCTTTTAAATGCCAATGGACGACTCGAACCGAAATCAACGATTTGTGCGGATATTCACGCAGCACGAACCTGCTGTGCGTGCATTCGTACGTCGCTTGGTTCCTTCCCGGACCGATGCCGACGACATCCTTCAGGAAGTTGCCGTGGTGCTGTGGGAAAAGTTCGACG